TATCTTCTGTGTCTGTGTTAATTGGTTTCCCTTTTCTTTGTTGAAGAGGGTCTGTGCAGTCTTTCTGCCTAGTCCGCCATCTTGCTGGAACTCTCTATTTTATCTTCTGATGTTTGTGTATTTTGGGGTATGCTTGATAGTCTTTGCCATAAATTAGGACCCTTAAGTTTGCCCCTGTTTTTTCTTTGATGAATTTTATAGATTTAGGTTTCACAGTTAAGTCTTTGATCCATCTGGAGTTAGTTTTTGTGTATGGTGTGAGGTATGGATCTCGTTTCATTTTGCTGCAAGTGGATATCTGGTTTTGCCGGCACCATTTATTAAAAAGATTCTCTCTTCCTCATTTCATGGATTTCAGCCCTCAGTCAAAGATCAGCTGACCATAGGTTGATGAATCTATTTCTGGGTTCTTAATTCTGTTCCACTGGTCTCTGTTTCTGTTGTTGTACCAATACCAGGTTGTTTTAACTACTGTGGCTGTATAGTAGGTTTTGAGATCCAGGAGTGTGAGATCTCCTACTTTGTTCTTTTTCAGTTGTGCTTTGCTTATCTGAGGTCTGTTTCCTTTCCATATAAAATTAGTGATTGGCTTTTCCATGTCTTCGAAGAATGTTGATGGAATCTGGATTGGGATTGCATTGAATGTATAGATTGGTTTGGGTGGTATTGACATTTTCACGATGTTCAATCTTCCTATCCATGAGGATGGTATGTTCTTCCATTTATGTAGATCTCTTATGGTTTCTTGAAGTACTGTTTTTGTAGTTTTCTTTGTATAGGTCTTTTGTGTTCCTGGTAAGATTTATTCTCAAGTATTTTATCTTTTAGGGAGCTATTGTAACTGGTATTGATTTCCTTGTTTCCTTTTCAGAGCCTTCTTTGCTGTTGTAGAGGAATCCAACTGAGTTTTGTACGATGATCTTGTAGCCTGCCACTGTGCTAAATCTCTCAATAAGTTTCAGTAGTTTTCTTGCTGAGTCTCTTGGGTTTTCTATGTATAGGATCATATCATTAGTAAATAGGAATAATTTTACTTCTTCCTTACCAATATGAATGCCTTTAATTTTCCTTTCTTGTCTTATGGCCCTGGCTAGGACTTCCAGTACAATGTTGAATAGATGTGTTGATAGAGGAAATCCTTGTCTGGTTCCTATTCGCAAGAGGAATGATTTCAGTCTCTCTTCATTGTGTATAATGTTGGCTGTTGGTTTTGCATATATGCCCTTTATTATGTTGAGGGATTTCCCTTCTATTCCTATTTTTCTGAGAGTTTTTTTTTTTTTTTTTAAATCAGAAATGGGTGTTGGATTTTATCAAATGGTTTTTTTGTATCTTTTGATACAATCATGTGATTCATTTCCTTTATTTTACTTATGTGATAGATTACATTGATTGTTTTTCTAATGTTGAACCATCTTTGCATACCTAGCATGAATCTCACTTGATCTTGATGTATTATTTTTTGATATGTTGTTGGAGTCTTGGCTAGGATTTGTTGACGATTTTTGCATCTATGTTCATGAGCGATACTGGTCTGTAGTTTGCCTTTCTAGTATTGTCTTTACTTGGTTTTAGTGTCAGGGTTATGCTTATTTCATAAAACGAATTTGGAAGAATTCCATCCTTTCTGTGTTCTGGAATAATTTGAGTAGGATTAGTGTCAGCTCTTCTCTGAATGATTGGAGGCATTCTCCAGTGAAACCATATAGGCCAGGAATTTTTGTTGTTGTTGGCAATTTTTTTATGACCTGTTTAATGTCTTCTTTTGTTACGGGTCTGTTCAGATTTTCTACCTCAGTCTGTGTTAGTTTAGGTAAGTAGTGTGTTTCTAGAAATCATTCCATTTCTTCTTGGTTTTCAAATTTGTTAGAGTTCTTCATAAGTATTTTGATGTTATTCTTTTTATTTCCATTGGTTCTGTTGTGACGTCTTCTATTCATTTCTTAATCGTGTTATTTGCATTTCTCCTTTTTCTTTGTTAAGTTTGGCAGTATTTTGTCCATTTTATTAAATTTTTTCAGAGAACCAACTTCTAGTCTTACTGATTTTTCTATTGTCTTTCTGTTTCCTTTATTTCTGTTCAAATATTTATTATTTCTTTTTGTGTTAAAGTCTGTTTGATCAGAAATTAATCTTGCCAACCTGCTCTGTTTTGATTAACACTTGCTTGGTCTTTTTCCAACCTTTGATTTTTAAGTCTATTTTTGTGTCTAAGGTGAGCCTCTTGTAGACAGCATATTGATGAGTCAGGTTTTCTTATCCAGTCTGTAACTCTCCGTCTCCTGAGTGGTGCATTTAATCTGTTTACATTCAGCATAATTACCGACAAGTATGAATTTATTGATGTCATTTTGTTATGTGTTTTTTTCATGGTGTTACTGATTTCTTTATTCCTTAAGATTTTTTGTGCTGAGGTAATTTTGTTTATGAATTATGTTATCTCCTTTGTTACTACTGTTTTAATATATGCTAAAGTTTGTGCTTGTGCTCTTTTTTATTTTGATGCGAAGGCTTATTATTTTTCTTTGAGGTTATCCTGTGATTTGTAATTTTCTCCCCAACCTTGAAACATTCTGTTCTATCAATTTTCTTGACTTCTTCACCATTCAGAAGTTCTGTAACTACACTATTTATTACTTCTTTTTGGTTTGTAGTTGTCCTTATTTACCAACTGATGTCTCTGGTTCCCTGTTTATACTCTTGTAAGCTTATTTTACTTTGGATGCTTCTACAGCTGGGTTGGTTTCTGGGTTATGTTGTCATATGTGTTAGTCATCTGTTGTTGTTTGCTGTTGTTGGTTTTCTGTCCAAAGGACTCCCATTAGCATCTCTTAGAAGCTTGGTCTGGTTTTTATAGATTCCCTTAATTTCTGCTTATCTGGAAATGTCCTAACTTCACCATCATATTTGAGGGACAGTTTTGCTCGGTATGTAATTTCTGGTTCCTTAATCAGCATGAATGGAAGGAGCACTCAGGACATCAGATGATGTATTGTACTGAGCAAAATCTGCTGCAGAATACCTGTTTAAGGTGCTGAAGAGCAAAGATATCTCTTTGAAGACTAAGGTGTGCTTAAGCCAAAGCCATGGTATTTTCAATCACTTCATATGCATGTGAGAACTGGACAATGAATAAGGAAGACCGAAGAAGAGTTGATGCTTCTGAGTTGTGCTGTTGGTGAAGAACACTGAAAGTACCATGGAATGCTAGAAGAACTAACAGATCTATCCTGGAAGAAGAACAGCTGTAATGCTCCTTGGAAGCGATAATGGCCAGACTTTGTCTCACCTACTTTGGTCATGTTGACAAAAGGGACCATTCCTTGGAGAAGGATATCGTGCTTGGTAGAGTGGAGGGTCAATGAAAAAGGGGAAGACCCTCAATGAGATGAATTGACACAGTGGCTGCAATGATGGGCTCATGTATAGCAAGGATTGTGAGGCTAGCACAGGACCAGGCAATGTTTCGTTCTGTTATACAGAGTGTTGCTGTGAGTTGGACCCGACTCAATGACACCTAACAACAACAATAATTCTTGGTTGGATTTTTTTTTCAATCTTTTATATATATCATCCCATTGCCTTCTCATCTATGTGGTTTCTGCTGAAAAATCAGAGCTTTCAAATGTCAAATTATGCAAATTTTCCTATTTTATACAAAGAAAATAGTTACATGGGAACTTTTTGGTTATCACAATTATATCAGAAATATGCAGAGGCAACAAATACGCTTACAACAACAACAAAAATAAGAGTGTAAACTCATTAAGAATCATTCAACTCGCAAACTGAAAAAGCTATTCTTTCAATAAACACTGAGATAAAATAACTTTTAAGTTGCGTGGGAAGGCTTTCATCCAATTCAACGTTTGGGTGTATGATAGAGCATAGAACCCACAAGAGAATGAATCAGAGGATGATCACCTTTGTAGAAGAGAAGTTCTGAAATAAGTGTTTTTAAAGGGGGGGAGGAAAGAAAGGTGCACTCTCTTGGTGAACAGAGGTCAGGGCCATCCCCCACCTCCACCCAGCTTCTTGACTAGCAGGAATTCCATCCTGGTCTATGCCCTCACAGAGCCTAGGTTCTGTGCCCTGCACCCCAGACTTTTGTTTTTCTTGCTTTGTTTTCAAATTATTCTATCTTCCTCCTTTCTTTATGTTTATTTATTTATTCTCTTTCCCATCCCCCCCCTTTTTTTCCTCTCTCCTCTTTTCCTGATTCCCTTATTTTTTCTATCTTTTGGTTCTTCCATTCCTTGTTTTCTCATTTGCAGTCTTGCCATTTTTTCTTTACTATTCTTTTACTCTTGCTCTTTTCTCTCATTCCCATCCCCCAGATATTGCGAACTTTTTTTTCTTTTTCTCATTATATTTCATTTTTTTAAAATTCAAATGATCATAAATCACAAATAAAGTCCAAATAACTTAACTTTTAATGTATGCTTGAAACAAATTATTTTAGTTTTTATATGAAAAATTATTTCCCTCTCTCTTTCTCTAGGGCAATGTGTTCATGTACTATGGACTGTCTAATTTCTATCAAAACCATCGTCGTTATGTGAAATCTCGAGATGATAGTCAACTAAATGGAGATCCTAGTGCTTTGCTTGTAAGTAAAATGAATTATAAAAATGTGATATCTATGAAATAAGTACGTATGGTAACTGTTAAGTTAGAAATGTTAAAATATTTAAGCATATTAAGATGAAAATAAAGTGCTACTTGTCATTTGTAGTTGGTATGGTAAGGATTTTTAGTTAAAAAATTTCCCTAGAATTTACACATTAATGGTTTCTTACAACCACAGGTCTTTTTTTCCTGCTTGTTTCTAATGGAGTCATGGGGATTTTTATTACTCTGTTTTGTAATGGAATTTTGATGATGTATCATTTTTGGTATATACATTTCTTTTATTTGGGTTTGTGCCTTATTACTGCAATAGGTAGGGATATGTAAATAAGCTAGTTTTAATTTCTGGGATTGTTTTTTAAAATTGAATACACACACTTTTCACTTAATTTGTTGGACACCTGAGCAGTAGAGTTTAAAGAGCAGTTTACTTAAGAACTGTCTGAGGAACTGTTTGAAAATACAGATTTCAGAATTTTCATAAGTCTAATATGTCAGTTTCTGCAGGGGTATAGCTCTAGAATATCTATCTGTTTTTAACAAGCACCTCTTCTGATGCCCTGCCTTGTTTGGAACCTGTTGACCAGGGGGCCTTAGTTTCCTGACTGCTATTTAACTTTCCACAAGTGGTTGATGCCTATATATTTTATGTCATTGCTTCTAGTGCAGCAAAAGTTCAGAAGACCAGAGCAATTTAGTAGTCTTTTAATCTCTTAGAATTGGTATAGAAATGAAAGTTAGGACTATATTATGACCACAGTGAGCTAGTAAACATGTTGTTATTGTTGTTATGTGCCTTCGAGTCGGACCCGACTCACAGCAACCCCTCCTTGGGTTTCTGAGGCAGTATCACTATGGAAGTAGATTGTCCCATCTTCTTTCCGAGGAGTGGTTGATGGGTTTGAACCGCTACCCCTCTGGCTAGCAGTCAAGTGCCTTAGGCATTACGCCACCAGAGCTCCTGTTTTTTTGGTTTTGGTTAGGGTCCTGAATGCAGCCATAGACAATACTTAAATCAATGGGTGTAACCGTGTCCAAATAAAACTTTACAAAAAAAAGGTGATGGGCTAGATTTGACCTGTGGCCTGTCGTTTGCTAACCCCTAGACTAGACCTAAAAGTACTATTGTAAGATCAGGTAGCTTTAAAAAGTTCTACAGATTTTAATAATGGATAGATTGAAGTCCAATTACTTAGCATTATATGTAAGGCTCTTTAAAATTTGCCATCAGTTTGGCTTCAGCCTCGTCTTACACTCTTTCTTTAATGTACCTTTGGCCTAGCTGCATTAGGCTCTTTGCTGCTTCCTAACCATGTGCTATGACACAAAGTAATCTGCTCATTTTAGGATTTACTGTTTCATTTGCCTAGAGTGCAGTTATTACTTTTTCTTGGAACTCATCTCAAGGCCTGCTGTTTTCTTGAGTGCCCTTTGATGCAAAATAACTTCTTCCTATTTGTTGTTGTTGTTATGTGCCGTCAAGTCGGACCCGACTCATATTTAGGGCTCCAAAAAAACTTTGTATATATTTACTTCATCCATACCCAGGTCGATGGCAAATAACAACAACAACAACATACCCAGGTCAGTCACTGTCATGTCTCGATTTGCTTTACAAGCCTATCTCCCCACATCATCTACTCTTGCCCCTTCCTTATAGACCATTCTCCACATAGCAGCTTTAGTAATCTTTTAAAAAAAAATACACACACACTTCAATACTTAATACCTTTCAGTGACTTACTAGCATTTGGAATAAAATCTCCGGATGAGATTAACTCCTATTTTATCATGTTCCATTTTCCTTCTCATCATGTTCTAGCTACATTTGGCTTTTATCTCCTCAGACATAGCAAGTTGTTTTTTAATGGCATGTGTTCTCTCTACTTAAAACTCTCTTTGTCCGTTCTTCTCATGCCTGGCTCCTATTCTCCTTTAGATTGATATGACACTCTCTCCACAGATAAGCATTTTTTTACCATAGAGTGCACCCTCACCCTATTAATCACTCATATAACATCTTCATAACATTGACTGCTACTTGTAATTTTACATTATCTATCTTCCCAACTACACTATAAGCTCATGAGATGACATTGTTAAGTATATACCAAGTGCCTTGCCAGTGTTTGGAGTCACCTTTGGTCAGTGGTTAACATGTTCAACTGCTAATTGTAAAGCTGGAGGTTCTAATCCACCCGGAGACACCTTGGAATAAAGCCTGGCAATTTTCTTCCAAAAAATCAACTATTGGAAACCTTATGGAGCACAGTTCTACTTTGATGCACATGAGGTTGCCATGAGTTGGGAGTCTACTCAAAGGCAATTGATTTGGTTTAGCCAGTGCTTAAAAAAATCTACTGCCATTTCCAATTCACAGCAGTCCTCGAGGATAGAGTAGAACTGTCCCAGAGGGTTTCCAAGGCTATAAGTCTTTACGGAAGCAGACTGCTTTATCTTCCTTTTGTGGACTGGCTGGTGAGTTCAAACTGCCTACCACTTAGTTAGCAGCTGAATGCTTTAACTATTGCACCACCAGAACTCCTTTTAGCCATTGCTTAGAACATTTAAAAAAAAAAAGTTGCCTTCGAGTCAGTTCTTGAATCATGGCAGACACTGTGTGTGTCAGAGTAGAACTTTGCTCATATGCAAACAACTATATGAAATAAAACCCATAATAAAGAAATCTCTCTGTCTCATATATATAGAGAGAGAGTGAGAGAGAGAGAGAGTGCCTCCTTTTTTAGACATGAGATTTAACGCAGAATTACAAAATTTAAAATTATTCTAGTTGAGCATGTTCATTTTGCAAGTGAGGCCCCCATAAATCAAGGGATTTACTCAAGGCCACATAGTATATGTATTTGGAACTAGAACCATTGGTTTGTTTACTTCTAGTATAAACTCCTTTCATTATGTCACAACTAGATTGTCAATAGACCACTTTTTAATTTTTTCTTAGAAAGCTCTGTGGTTCTTCTTTCTTTACTGATATTAGAATTAAAATGATACCAATTTGAAATATACATGTATGATAAAATATGTACAATAAAGGTTACATGAAAAGATAACACAGTGACCTTAAGGAATACATTTGGGTATTTAAATGTCTTACTTATATTTTATATGCCTTACAGATTTATTTTGTATGCATTACAAAGGAGAAACAGAGTTTGAATTTTTAATCAGTAATTGGGGTTAGCTCATCATTCACCCAGAGGTCTGGGCAATAATTTCTCACTTCTTTTCCTTCTCAAAATCAGAATCCCAGTAAGGAATGTGAGCCTTATCGAAGAAATGAAGACAAACCAATTGCTCCTTGTGGAGCTATTGCCAACAGCATGTTTAATGGTATGGTATCAATACAAACATAGAAAATATATTTATAAAGGTAAAATGTCTTTAAGTTTTTATATACTTTTTTTCCAGGGCTTTAAACATATTATTCAGTATGTTTAATTAGGACAATGTATATAATGTGTTAGAGATTCGATAGTCTAGTAAATATGAATGAAATGGAGAAAGTCAATTCAATTTAAGATAAATATATGAGCTAGATATTAACTGAGGTATTATAATGCTTTGTGACTTCCTTTTGACCATTATATTTTAAGAATGGATTTTTGTCTCTGGGAAGAAAGTAGTACTGAGCAAAGCAGAGGCATTCTGCTAGCCTTCCTAAAAATCCAAAACAAATCCACTGCCATTGAGTCAATTCCTAGCCTTCCTTTTTCATATAAAATAAAAGCCAAGACTGCCTTTTGATACCAATTTTGTTTATACCATTAAAAAGGAGCTATAGTGGGTAATTTAGTGTAGCATTGTAATGCAAACATAATGTGAACCATAAGTGTGAATCATGTATGTAATTTTAACTATTCCAGTAACTGTATTTTAAAAAGTAAAAAAAAACATTTTCATAATGTATTTTAATTAACTCAATATATATTAATATATTAACATTTCAACATGTAATCAGTATATTAAAGTTACTAAGATTTTTCAATGTTTTTTTCTTGTACTAAGTCATTGATACCTGATGTGTATTTTAAACTTACAGTGCATATTTATTTGAAACAGACATATTTCAACTGCTCTGTAGTAGCTCTGGTGGTATAGTGCCTAAAGCATTTGACTGTGAACCAGAAGGCTGGCGGTTCAAACCCACCAGCCACTCCTCGGAAGGAAGACTGGGCAATCTACTGCTGTAGAGATACTGCCTCAGAAACCCAAGGAGGGGTCGCTATGAGTCGGAATCAAAGGCAGTGAGTTCGGTTCGGTTCAGTAGTCATTTATGGCTAATGAATATACGTATTAGTGCAGATAGTGAAATAGATAAGCCAAAAACTATTTAAGAATGCATTATTAGGATCAGAGGAAAAACAGATTTACTTAGCTAGTTGTTACTATAATTAATTCACATGTGAATCATCAAAAATAAATGTGTATCATATGCCTTCTATGACATAATCACTTTTGGGAGTTAATACTAGATCCTCCAGTCTCATAGAATAAAGCAGAGACCATGGCTTTTCAGTAGATAATCAGCAATATGTTCCTGTTTTGTGTGTTTAGATACTTTAGAATTGTTTCTGATTGGCAATGAATCTGATCCTACACGTATTCCTTTGAAAAAGAAAGGTATTGCTTGGTGGACAGATAAAAATGTGAAATTCAGAAATCCCCCTGGAGGAGAAAGTCTAGAAGAACGGTTTAAAGGTAAATCATTACTAATATCCCCCTAAGAAATAGAAACTTTTAAGAGCTCAAGCTAGGAGTTTTAATGAAGTATCTTAAATTTTTTCATCTTTAGAATCTTAAAAGAGCTTTTGGTTTAAAAAGGAAGCAACTTTTCACACCTTCATTCCAAGTTAGGTAAAATGTAGTATGCTCTGATGTACTGACATTCTAGAGGAAATGAATTGAGTTTCTCTGGTGTTTTTTATATCAGCCATCATCTTTTAAAACTGCAGCAAAGCTTCTTTTAAATAAGTCTTTATTATTTATTATCTAAATATATTTTTGTTTCTGTGCTACCTCATTTTTATAATGTAATGTTTCTTAACATTGTATCTTTGCATTTTGTTGTCTGCCATTTGTATATATGCATATCCTACTTTCAGTATTCTCTCGAGATCTTATCAACAAGTATTTGTAATTTTTTGTTGAATTGTTACATGAGCAATTGGTTTCTACTTAAATTTTAAGACTTTTTTAGAATATGAATATATTTATATACATTTGGAAACAAATATACTATTTGTGTACTGCACATCGTCATTTTAGGAGAGTGTAGATTTTCTGTGAAACTCTTAATAGAATTGAATATTTTGCCTTACCATCCCTCCCCTATTTTTTCCCCCTCAAGGTACCACAAAACCAGTTAACTGGCTTAAACCAGTATACATGCTAGATTCTGACCCAGATAATAATGGGTTTATAAATGAGGATTTCATTGTTTGGATGCGTACTGCAGCATTACCTACTTTTCGTAAGTTATATCGTCTCATAGAGCGGAAAAATGATTTACATCCAACTTTACCAGCTGGACGATACTATTTGAATATCACATACAGTATCCTTTTTCTTTGGCAATGTACATATTCATAGAACTTAAAGAGAATATAGTTCAACCTTAATTATGTGACAAGTTACTTTGTGCTTTTTTTGATATCTGCATTTTTATGTGAGTTTTTGTATATATGAATATCTATTTAAATTTATTTATTGTGATTTGGGTGAAGATTTACAGAGTGAATTCACTTTCCATACAGCAGTTCACATACACTTTGTCTCATGCCATTGACCACAGTTTACAATGCAACAGCTCCCCTTCCACTTCCTCCCCATAGTTACCTCTTCCCAGTGACCATACCTCCATACTCTCCTGTGCCCTGAGCTGTCTCCCTGTGCATAAGCAGTCCTTCCTTCTCCCACGATTGTTCTCCCCAGGGCGTGTGTCTACTTCAGGTAAATGTTTAACTCACATGCCTGTACATTGTTTGGCTGGAAACCACAGGTGCCTGAAGGGCAGCTAGGGGCCATAGTCTCAGTAGTTCCACCAGGCTCTATTGGACCAGCAAACCTGGTCACCACCTTCTTTTTTCTTTTTTTTTTTTCCTCCAAATGATTTTGAGTTTTGTTCCACATTGTTCTCCCTCTCTATCCAGGATCTCCTACATCCCT